TCCCTAAATAATAAAAAATAAATTACAGTGAAAGCAATGAAGATTTTGTAGGTTTTGAACCAAACCAAATAACAGTAAACCTTTACGGTATTTTCTTATTTTGATGTTTGAGCTCTTTTGTGTTTAGAACAATATATACTAATTTTTAAAGTATCAAATTGAATTTTTGTTCAATAAAAATCTTTCATATGCGACTGTAACTTTTTTTCCCAAAAACTTTGTCTTCAAAATAAGGGTGCGTCTTATATTCCGAAAAATACGTTACCTCTCGATTGAACACTTAATAGTTGATTCTACAAAAAATTATTCCTTATTAGTTTAGTTTAACGTCCGCTAGCATAAGAACTTTTGTTGAACCAGAACAAAACTTGGGAGCTCCTTAAACTAATTAATCTAGTCATGTATCACAGAGCAATATTTGAAAGTGATCCTTGTATTACTAATAGAAGTTATAACAGACAATGTAAAAGAACAGCGTTACAAGACATATTAGAATATTAAAGAAAACGTTTTCTCTCTCTGAAAAACAATAATATACACCAGTATAATAGCTAGTAATGTTTGGTTTTCTACATTAGATGTTTTTTTTTTTTATCTAGGTCTTCACATCTTAAGAAACCTCGTAATGGAAGGCGACACGGACCGTTTCACACAGCATATTGAAAATTCAAGATTGACTAGTCCCAGACTGGATGATTCTGAATCGGAGAATGAACGGCCATCGGATAGTACCTCTCCTTGCTCTCTATTCTCCAGTAGCGGGGATGACCACCAGGAAGCTGAGACAGACGACGTTTTCTACTCGCACGTGACGTCGTCCTGTGACACTACGCCTGCCTGGGTTTGGGTCTCGCCCTTGTCTGTTCCATCTAAGCCACATTTCAGCCTCTCATCAACTGTCACTGGATCAATCCTTCCAGTTGACGTGTCCACGAGTCAGCAGGTGGCACTAGAATTTGTCCCACGGCGCGTTCTAAGGCGAAGATTTTCATCGGAAGAAGAGCTTCCAACGAATGAGGGAGGAAACTCCCGTAAGCTAAACCGCCGAACCTTTACGAACAATCGCGAAAGGTGGCGGCAACAGAACGTTAACGGTGCCTTTGCTGATCTACGTAGGCTAGTGCCAACTCATCCACCAGACAAAAAACTAAGTAAAAATGAAATTCTCCGTCTGGCAATCCGTTATATCAGAATACTTTCAGACGTCCTTGAATATCAAGAACAGAAGCTTCAGTCAGAAACAAAGACCAATCAGATGGCTCAAGCTCCAACTTCTAGTGACCATGTGGAATCTTACAGGAATACTGACCATTCGGCCGAATATGAAACCAAAAGCACCAGTAGTGGCTATTTACAATTTAGTAGTGTCAAATCAGAGGAAATAATCACCAGAAAAAACTGCAGTGAAAATAAGTTAGAAGTGAAGGACAGGTCAAGTGTCAGCTCTCCAGCCTCCAGTTTGAGTAGTCCACCTTCTAGTAATGATGAAATAAACTAATAAAACCAGGCAGATTTTTAAGATATATTTTACAGCATTAATGTCTCGCTACATGTGAAGGCAGGCAAAATTCGCCTTCATTCCTATAACTCTTTAAGTGGGAAAGCCGCCTAACTATCAACTGGAAAACAAAAGCTCATTTTCCCCCAAATTGTTTATTTTATAGCAAAGCTACATTGGGATTTGCTTTCTCCACTGTGGGGAATCGGACCACGGATTTTAGCGTTGTAATTCTATAAACCTATCGCTGTCCCATCGGGGACATTTTTTTTTTTCCAAATTAGAGAAAGATAGTATAGACAGTGCCTCACTGAATGGTCTTTGTGTTGTTGCAAGTGTAAAACAACAATACGTTTTTGTAAGTAAGTAGCAACAAAATTGTTATGGTAACGATTCGTGATAAGATATTTATGGTATAATGTTTATTCTCGTGAACTTGACCAATAACTAGTCCATATTTTTCTCTAATTGGTATATAATTCATTTTTCCGTATATAATAAGTGAATAGCTTATCCAGTTAAGATACACTGATACTAATACTTCACTTGCAGTATCAATTTTTAATTACAGGTGATGAATATAGTTTAAATTGCATAAGTAAACAGCCTATGTGCGTTCGTCTCAACATGTATAATTATGGTTGCTAAGCAGTTTTGAAGTGTAAATATTCAACCATTTATATGTAATTAAAAACAGCGAATCAAGAAAACAATAAAACCAAATTGTATTTGATATAGAAACTATTTTCCAACAGACAACTACACACTTTTATTGATACAGCAAAGACTATTAGGCACAAAACAAGAAATACTATATGAACTTTTCATTTGAACAAAGAATAAAAGAAGCAAGTCAGTCGGAGCAACATAACAACAATTAGAGTAATATCACGAAAAGGCACTTTCACACAATCACATATAATATATAGTCAACGACTTTAATATTTGACAAACAACTTACCTGGAAAGTCCACCTTGCAGCTGTCGAACACAAAGTCTTCTCTCAACTCCACTTGCCGACGACTGACCGGAACTTCCTGGGGTTTAAATCCACCTCTCCTTCTGTATTCCTGAAAAGACTTCATTTGACCTTGTCTAGCTTAGTCACAGTGCCTGGATCTTTGCGTCTGCACTAGTCCAAATCAAGTACTTTATGGCCGCGTCTTTTTCCACAGATTTTATTACATCTCAGAAATTTTCGAATTAGATATATTCACACTGTTTCCGGACTCGTAATGTCATCTTACGAGGCCTTCTCTTTCTTCTTGTTTGCCACCCAACAAAACACTTAATCGCCTGCAGAACATTTTTAAACCTTTATGTCATGTCCTCGCTGCCAGATGATCCTGCTACTAAAGCCAATCCTACGAAAAACTTACCAAACTGTATCTGTCCTGAGGATTAACTGTTCTTTCTCTATTTCTACTGCTCATTCAACATCCTTCATTCTCTTTTGTTGGCAAGACTAATAAAACAAATTGTACATTGTTCTTTTTAATGGCATATCGACTATCATCGTTACACGTCCATTATGGGCTGTCTTATCAAATTGGCTGGAGTGAACATCGCGTATGACTTATTTACTCTTACTCATAATTTCGGGACAAGTGGTGAAACAAGTGATAAAATGGGCTTCATATATATTTTTAGCTTCAATATTCGCATTCTTAATATGTATTGTTTGTAGTTACGCACAAAGCTACACGATGGGCTATCTGTGCTCTGCCCACTACGGGTATCGAAACCTGGTTTCTAGCGTTGTAAGTCCGCAGACATACCTCTGTGCCACTGGGGGGGGGGGCATTTTTAATATGTATTTCATTAAGACACAGTTCCATAGTTTAAACATTTATCGAATGAAAGACGCATAAAACATTCAAATTTAATGAAGCATAGACAATTAGTTTTAATTACTGAAATAACAATGAATTAGTTCTCCCAAATTAAATTTATCGAAATCAATTGAAGAAAAATAAAGGGTGCATATTTCTGAAATATATCCGAGTATATGGCATGGAAAATTGTGGGTCTATTTTCATCTCTTGGTAAAATACTTAATGCTCATACTATTTCGAGGATAAGATTTTATAATTGAGTAGAGGTTTTACAACAAAGAAACAAAAAGTATAAAACAAAAGGAATCATCATAGCTTCAACTAGGAATATGGTCTTCTATAAGAAGTAGATTAAAAGTAATAATCAAATAGACATACACATATACACAATAAAATATTTAGAAATGTTTGTAATGAAATTGAACACATTACAGTATATTTTATTTTTTCAAATTACCACAACTCAAGGATTTTCTCAAAGAAGGGATTATATTTCACAAGGACAACATTCTCGACTAAATATACACCTTGATGGAACTTAAAAACAAACAATCTCGTATAACTTTTTATTCTATTGACGACGAAAAGATAAATGCATCCTCAGATACTTAAACTGATGATAAAGATGCACATATTTTAAAATAGCAAGGAACAAAACGTGCTTTCTGTAGAAACAATAATAATACGAAACATCGAAACCATTTATCTGATAGCATTTTATATCACAATCCTGGGTAATTCACTATGTGTATGCAACAACAAAAAAATCGAAGATTTAATATTGCACTGTAGAAACATAAGTTAGCAATTATTTTACACCCATACTTCTAATACAAGAAGTATATAAGTTATTTCAGCTAAAGTGTAATATCCTTTTTCAGCGCAGCTACATCTATAAGATTAGTTTATTTTTAACTCCAAACATGTGTATTTCACTGTTGCAAAATTCACCAAGTTCAGAATCACGCAGTAGGAACTGATCTGCTTCTACAGAGTTACATATATATATATACACACACATTTACTTCCAGTATCACGTCAAATGCGTCAGCAACAAAAGGACTATAACATTTTAACATACATACGTATGTCATTACTGTTTTTACTTGTTAATTATTTAAAGAATGCACCGTCTCTAAGGCGTAGGAACCAACAAAGCTTTTCGAAGTATAATATACAAGTGAGATACATACACAAGAAAAACACATAATAGTATTAAGGTGCATAACGCATAAATAACCAACTGTTAAACACGACATATATATATACATACATCCATAGATTTGGAAGCGCTGTTTATACGCTTTCCTTTTCTTATGGTGTTAAATTTAATGACCTGCTTTGGTTTCCTTACTATGTCTATGTATTTGATTTCCTAATTAATATTTACTCAGGAGATAATTTTCGAAGAAAACAAGGACTAATAGTAAAGCACACTTCATATTCCACATGACATCAAATTGTGAAATTGATGAGTTCTAGAAACACAAGTAAATGATATTCATAACTTCATTCAACAGTTTTAAATAACACTCTTGTAGATCGTTCGGGAAAACCTCTATTATTTGTCTAAAGTAATCTCTGACACCTTTAAAAGTTTACAAAATTATTTTTATTACCCCATTTTCTAGGGTGATGCTTCTAATAATACCAAAGATCAGTATACAGGTTGACTCCGTAATCTGGAAATTGCATGGAAATTGAATATTGTTAAGAGTTCTTATATTAAAATACAAACTCCCTCTAGTTCCTAAAGGTTAAAGCTTCATGCTCGTTAATCATAACGTAGCAATATTTAAAATATCTACTTTGATAGCGTAGCTGAGATTAAATGAACACAAAATTAGAATACAAAATACGTTTACGGAAAATCAATAATGAAATTGCACTTTTCTTCACAAAATAAATTATCAATAGCAGTTTTCTGTAAAAAAATATTTGTAAGAGTGTTAATTGCTATCTTCTGACTAACTTAGATATCTGACGTATCGACATTATACGCTATATGTACAGAATACTTTCTTTTGTTGTTAGAAATAGTTGAGTGAAACTAATTATTTCGTTTCCATATATTTGTTGGAATCGTCGTGAGGAATAATGGCTTTAGGCTTATGGTATCGTGTGGAAATTTATGCTTCCTAACCTGGTCGGCTCATGTTGTCAAGTTTCTCATGCCGCAAATATTATTGAAATAGGCCTATAGCCGTACGTACTATTTACTAAATTAAAATGTTTTAAGAAATAATTAGCACCAAGAAGTTTATACTTACCATATTTTTTAAACAATTACATGAACAATAATACTGTTGCCAAATTTAATTTATCATTCTTACGGGTTTCCTGTTAACAGAATATATTGATCAAATATCAATATGTTCCGTTTGTTGTAGGCTGCTACTGATAGACTATTTTCGTAATACTTCTACGTCGTCATAGTTACGCTGAACGCCAAATGAAATATGATAAGACAACTGTAACGTACGATCATTTAAATTTTTGAGTATGTTCTAGTCCAGCCAAACCAAACTTCATTAGTAATGCTTACAATTAAAGCAGCATAGTTAGTTTAAGTAATAGTCACGCATAGTGACCATTTATTGTAGTGTTCTAGCCTATTTTAGATCCTAAAAGAGTTCACGTTTCTTCAGACAACATATCATAACTTTTCTCATGTCCTAAATCAGAAGGCTTAATAATTTGTTAAGCAATTTTTTCGACGGTATGATTTTTGGAACAAACACTTAAGTCATCAGAATACATAACTTGGCAAACTACTCATCAGTTTATTTTATAAATTAATAATTAAAAAATAAACATATGTGAAATTTATATATATTTATACTGAATTTTTAAAACATATACAAAACATATTGAAAGTTTGCAAAATTTAAACATAATTTTTTGCATACTATGAATAGTATAAAATGTGTATCAGATCTTTATGTATTTAAAATAAAGTTAGATTCGCATAATCACAACGAACTCTTGTATTTATTATACAGAAAATATGTACTACTTCAACTTAGGCAAAGCTAAGTGACAAAAAAAAAACTTTCGAAACCAGAGTAATCATTATGATGAAAACATGTTATGAACATTTCCGAGAGATCGCTTGACACCAATCGTGGCGCCACAAAGACCAGAACTAAACCGGAAACCCCAGGAATCACAGCAAGCGTTAAACGGCGCAGAATGGAAAACATAGTGGCTTATTGCTGCAGACCATATAATTAATTGTTTTGCATATAAACTAGTTATTTCGAAGATATTGTGCAAATCATCATAGAATCTTCTTTTTTTATATACTTTTTCAATAAAAGGTTTTTATCAGTCGTTTTTAATCTTTTTTTCCTCCGTTTATTCTTATTTAATTAGCTCTGTAAATTTTATGTTTACAGTTTTCTTGTCTGTACCGTTTTTTCCGCATTTCAATAGACTTAATATCTTTGACTAAGCCTCGTTGACTTATATTCCATGTAAATATTGTCTGATGTGCGTAAGAAAAAAAAATCATGTAACTATGATGTATTATCGGCTCCCTATATTGTTTTCTCTATCTGTAATAATTGCTAGAATTCTCACAGTCTAAAACTGTTTTATAAGTAGTTCTGGCGAACCATAGCCACCGGCATCAACAACTGATATTTTCATTTTCTGTTTCATATCCAAGATAGTGAGTACTAGTCTACTCTGGTTTCTACTAATATATACAGGAACAATAGGTTGTTGTTCTTCTTCGCTAAACTACAACTATGAGGCTTCTGGCATACCCAGCAATCTACAGGATGTGTGTACTATCGATAAATGTGAAGTTAACCCCTAGCGGGAAGTTAGGCTTTTGTCGAGGAAGTTTCTCATCCGCTCTCAGGCCATTCTTAGAATTCTACGAATTTTCATC